TTTTTTGCAAGTTTGGCAAGTGTTCAAACTTAACAACTTTTTTCACCATAGAAACAACTCATGATGAAAAGGTGGATTCAGTTCGCAAAAAACAAAGTATTGCAATTTGATCATATGTAACTAACTGTAGAGAGTTCACATTAGAACATATCAAATTTTCATGCCATTTGAATGATTTTTCGCAGTTCTATGAACATTTGAATTTAGAACTTTTTTTTGTAGATTTCAAAATTTTCGCAAACTTTTGACCGGTAGTGTATATAAAAAATTAATTATTAAAAATTAAAATCAAAAACTCAAAAATTTAATATCAAAACTTCCTTAAAACAAATTCATAATAAATAACGTTTTAAGCCAATTTATAAAATTAATGTAGTCATTTTACAATTTACTTATGCTAAACTTTACACTTTACATATTTGTTTACTTACACTTTTTATAACACTTTACTCAACTTTAAATACTTTACCTGAGCTTATCAGTTTAAAGAAGATGCTTATATGCATTTTATTTACTTTAATGAGTCTCTTTTCACAATAAAATAAAGCTATCTCCAATGATTTTAGATAAGAGACAGAATAGATTTTTTTTGAAATTGCACATGTTTAACATATTCAAATGACTTCTTTTTAACATCTTACAATTTTATTAAGAGACAAACTGTCCTCTCAACCTAATCAGTCTAATAGAAAAAAATATAACTATACTTATTATTTTTCCAAAAGTAATGACTTAAATCCTCAACAAAATTGACAAAAATTCTTATGAACGTAAAATAAATTTAAAAATTTGATATGACTTGCAATATTTTGTTATTTCTTTCGAATTTAAACTACAAACAAAATTTAAATTACACAAAAATCATTTTTAATTAAGAGTTTTGAAATTAGTTCTTTTCCTTTGAAATTTTACTTATTTCATGTAATTAATTCATATAATTTACTTATTTATGGTAGTTAATTTAAGTTATTAATTTATTTACTATTTTGCTTTCACATATGAACTTTATGAGCGAGGAAATTATATATAATAACATTATTAACTTAAAAAACATTAACAAACATTTGCTTTGTTATTATATAAAATGTTTTTTAAATATAATTTTTTAGATTTTTCCCAGTAAGATGTACTGGACACATTTTAATATTTTTTAACTATCGTTATTAACGTTTTTAATGTTGCAAAAACCAACGATGATTTCAAATTTTTCTGAATCAAAAAACATTTTTCATTTTTCCTCCAATTTTAAGTGTTTAGGAAATAAAAAACGTTTTGGTAACATTTTCCCATTTTATCACAACCGGAAAAGAAAATATATAAGTATCCATTCTTTAGGATAGAATCATAATTGTAACAAATGTTTAATTAATATGGAAATTTCGAAGCAAATGAAAAATGATTAAATATAAAATCATATATGAGAAACAAAAGATTCGAAGAAACTTCCCTCATAATTTCAAAACATTGATTCAATTAATAAAGAAACTACATGAGGTTACTAAATGAGTTAAAAATGCATCCTTAAAAGAAATTCATTTATTTTCGCTATTTTGTTATGTTTGTGATCCAGGTATCGTGGTGCCCTCTGTGAGATTTCCTTTAAGACCGATATACAGAAACAAAACACCAATGACAGTTATATATATATATATATATATATATAAGTTCAAAATGAAGAATAAAACAAAGAAAAATTATAGACATATGAAAAAAAGGGGGTGGGAAATAATAAGATAAAAAAAAACAAAAACACTTTATTAAAAAAAAAATGAAATGTTAATTAAAAAACCGGAAAAAAAATATAATCTTTTCCTCAGCCCACACGATTATATCCGCAAAACAGAGTGCTTTCTGATATTGTATCAATAAAGCCAAAGCAAAATATATTAATACAAT